GGGGAGAGAAAGAGAGATTCTCTTTTCTTACGAAACCTCGCTCGGCTGCAAAATCCAAGCGGCTAATAATAGTGGTGACTTCCACACGAATTCAGCGATGGTGTAAAAGGGAGACAAGAAAAGGGGGAGGGAGGAGAAAGGGGAGAAGCAGAATTTAGAAGAGGCGACGCTGTGAAGGAAAATATGAATTTTTATAGACTTCATTACTACTGGTCGCTATCTGAGTCATGGATAAAGGAAAAAGTCCAAAAAACACCGTGAAATTCGAAGCACACACATACATACATACATACATACGTACGTACACACACATACCACATAAAAGTGCCAGACCAGGACTGTGGTATCAACCTCCACGCATTTCTGGACCTCACGTACGAGCATATGAAAGTTTTGATGGGAAAATCCCTACCTCAGGAATCAGAAAAGCTACTAGGAGGCTGAAATTTTAAGGGAATGTTCCCAAACCACGTACAACTTAAATAAACAAACACAAGCACACATACACACAGCAAACACACAAACACCGACATAGAACACAAACATCACATACACATTCACAGAAATTTTTTCGATAAAAACATTCATGCACACACAGGTACATACACACACATACACATACACACACATACATATACACGCACATACACATACACACACATACACATACACGCACATACACATACACAACAAACATACACATATACAACATCGCTATATAAGTGATGACTTACCTCATCAAAAAGTTCATTGAATGTTGGTATCATTTGATTGACGGTATGTACGAGCTCCAAAGGCCATGATTTCTTGCCTTTGCGTCCACCCGACAAGTAATAATCACCCCAACGATGCTTACCGCTTTCGGACATCTTTTTCAGTGATAATCACTGAAGAGTTCTTTGGTTGCTCTGATAGAAGTTGAACAAAAAAGAGAACAAAGATTCAGCATAAAATGAGATGATAAGAGAAATCGGGCTGAGATCTATGATTATGAAACATGGTCACTGACGAAAGCAGAAGAGCATACACTGGCCGTGGCGGAAAATGCAAAACGGGACGAAGGATGTTCGTGAAGGTGCGGTTAAAAATGTACGACCAGATAAACGGCGTCAGATGAACGGTGCGCGGGAAGTCACTGATATTAAGCGAGAAAGTAAAATCCGATGGGAAGGACTTGTTGTTGTTCACCTTGCCGACAACCGATAGGCGTCGAGTATTAGTAAGTAGTACTCACAAAGAAGTGAACTGATTAATCGCACGATCTTCGAAGAAAATATTTAACATCAGATGGGTGGAAAAAGTTGACGGCTGAGTTGCTGAAGACTTTGTGTTGTGAATTGCGCTTTGAAAAAGTTCCAAAATGTGAATATTCAGACAGAATGCTTTTTAAAACAACGATAAATATTTCCGGGGAAAAAATGCTCAGGCATCAAAATAAAGATATAAAAGAAGTCAGAAAATGTAAAAAAGCGAAGTACGAGGCACAAAACAGCTCACTCCGATATGCTACTTACAGAGCAGATTCAAAATGCCAAGAAAACTCGTTGCTGAACACGCGGGATCACGTTATTTGATGTCACAAACACAACGGGATTTAAACGGCAAAGAAGTGGAGTTGAATTAGAGCGCTGTGCACATTTATATTCCCTCTTATACATACTTATAATTGCATTACCCCTTATAGCCATATAAAAGCATAACTGCCGTATTGACGAGGTCCATTTGTGGTAATGAACAAGAATGTATACAAGACTTAATGAACCGAAACATTTCTATTCATCTAATTAATCTTCAGTACCTTATTTTATATATATATGCAAAATA